ATATTTTCTCATTGTAACTTTAACGAATTACAGTTACTCTTTTTTTGTAATTAAATTACGTAACGTCGTTACTCCCCAACACAGGTTGTGCACGTGCATTTTTTTAAAGTGGAGAGGGCGGGTCTTTTAAAATATTTGCAAATCCTCCTCTACACCTTTAACTGATCAGGGATCAAATATCTGTCTGTGCTTTTTGTCCATTAGTTACTGACATGTAATCAGTCTTCTTTTTTAAACCACGGATCTTCTGACAATATCAAACTGTTTTTTTTTTTCCACAGAGACAATGTGAAAGTGACTCAGAGGATATGGAGAGCAGGCCCGCCTCGCTGCTGCGCCGGAGACTCAGCAGCAGCTCATAGAACGGCTTAGATAGGCGCCACGAGGTCCACGCTGCTCCACGGGATCCCTGAGGGCCTCCTGAACGCGCCACAGACTGAAAGGGTCCAGCGTCCAACATGGACGAGCCTTTTCCTTCCTAAAACACTTTCAGATCCGGGGGGAGACTTTTCTAAATGTTTTATTTGTCAAGTGGATTTGTAAAAACCTGTTTATATGATGTGCCTTAAACGGTTTTAAATGTTTAAAGAAGCTCAATCATTTCATATATTTTTTAAAGCTTAAACATTTTGTTTCTTTTTTTTTCTGTTTATTTAAGCAGCCAAGGACAGAACTAAACTAAACTAACTAAAGGTTGTACATAAACAGAATGGGATTAATGGTTTCCAGTCCCGCCAACCAGTACAGTACCACTAATGTCTGTTTGTTTGTGTTGCAAATTAAATATTTTATGGTTCACTCATCAGTCAATAAGTGACAACAGGCCTGGATTTCTTTAACTTGACTGTACTTTTTTAAATGAGACAATACTTGTGACAAAGAGAACATGGATGTTTGTTGTCAATATTTGTAAATGGAAATTGGGATTTAAAATTTTCATAAATTGAAATGAGAAAAAACTGCAATCAAAAATGAAACTTTGAAAATCTTTGTAATCGGAAAAGGTTTGGAGAGTAACTGATTTCATTATTTTCAGAAAGTTTTTATTTGTTATATTTTTCAGACTTTTTCTTACGCTGGTGAAGATGCTCAGTCATCCAGGCCATTCCGAAATCTCACTTTCCTCCTCAATTCAAGACAAAATGCATTTAAGAAAAAAATAACTTCTTTAGATTTAAATTTTTTGCAGTGTACATGGATGCTGGCTTGAATTATCCTGGTCAACGTTTGTTATTTGGTTTAAAGTGAAAAGACCGTGATCAATGAAATGAATTTTAAAAATTCATCTGAAAAAGAGGATTTCAGAGCAAAAATTAAAAACTAAAATAAAAAAAAAGATTTTTGAATTAAACATTTTTCTAAAAAACAATCCACTGGACTTGGTGTCCAAGTTTGAAGACGTTTCTCTTCCATCCAGGAACCTTTTTCAATTTAAAATGTCAGAATTAGCCTTGATTTGCTTTATACAGAAGTTACGGCTTAGAAAACATGCAAATTGAAAACGAACCCCCGTCACTCTGCATGGGACCAAAACATCTCGCCTGGTCGGCCACCTCAACGACCCCCCATTCCTAAGTGGCGGACCAGTTCAATTAGCATGTTTTCTAAGCCAGAGGTCTTCAACAGGGGGTCCGCGACCCCTAGGGGGTCGGCAGAGGTACTGCATGGGGGTCGCGAAAGTCTTGGTTGATTACTTTTTTTTATATTCCCTCCTGCATTTTTTTTGCACTAATTAAAATGTCTTTAAATCCACATTAACATGAATTCAACACACTGTAGTAAACAGATAAATGGAGGCAGATGTCTTTCAATCATCAATGCTCACATTCAGCGACACACAGGAGCTCTTTCAAGCTGGGCACCGTTTCATTCACAACACCTGTCCCATCAACCAGGAATCAGAAATACTTTAATAATCCCAGGGAGAAATTACTTTCGTTACATGGCTCCATATGTAATAGAGTGACTATAGGACCAGTTTGATAGAACACAATTTCATACAATATATATAATTAGGGGGTCCCCTCTCCTTCTCGCCATCAGTTTGGGGGTCCTTGGCTTTGAAAACGTTGAAGACGCCTGTTCTAAGCCATTACAAGGCTTTGATGGGCTTCTGCATAAAGCCTGGAACTCAACACTATTCCTGACATTTTGAATTGAGAAAGAGAAACGTCTTCAAACTTAGAATTAAAGTCCAGTGGTCGTTTTTATTTTTTTACCTTTTTGGAAAAATGTTTTATTCAAAAACCTTTTTTGTTTTTCAAATTTTACTTTTTTTCTTCTAAAATCCTCTTTTTTTCAGATGAAGATTTAAAAATTCTTTTGAGATTATTCTTCACTGATAACATGATTCTTCCAATTTCCATTTACAAAACAGGTTCTCTGCTTGATGCAGTAATGGACCAAAGTTTAACCCATAGAAACTAATGAGGCGTCATGAAGGCAAAGAGGGTTTGGTGTGAAAGAAACTAAAGCCAGAAGCAGTGATGTCAGGATGGGAGAGGAGAGTTACCTGCTGGAGCTTCACCAAACATTAAAGAAATATTTCACCCCATCTGACCTACAGCTCTCAGTCTCAGAGAATTTACCAGAAAGTTAAACTTATTTTATGTGTGGTGAAGTGAGAAGGAGGCGTCCAATAGGAGCTGATGATCCTCAGTCTGATCAGACAGAACTAGAGCAACCATCTTGGTGTCATGGATCCCAGACAGGCTGGAAACCACACCCAAAGATGAATCCTCTCTACGGACAGAGGAGCAGACTGCCCTCCATGGACGCCAAGGAGAGGCTGATGTAGGAGGAATGATGACCAAGCATGAGACTCCACCCAGAACAGGAAGCTCTGAGAAACTCAGTCCAGGAGGACCTGGATCAGTAAAACACACAGAATCAACCCGGACGTTTTGATTGGATGGTGTTCTGTAGGTCTGTCTCATAGGAGCTTCAGGAGGTAGATGAAGCACTAAGGAATGAATTCAGAGGCGTCAGCAGCACAGCTGCCTTGCAGAAACAAGGTTGTTGGTACCAAACCCTGACCCCCCCATGGCAGGCCTATACAGGATTGATGGTTTCCATTTCCAGTTGAAGTCCCATTATACTAGGAACAGAGAAAACATCTGGGGTCCGTTTCATGAAGCAGGTTTAACAAACTCAGATTAAAATCCTCTAAATGGATCCAGCCTAAAGTCAGGAACTCTGAGTGTTCGGTTTCACACCGGCTGCTGTGAATGAGTTCAATCAATTTTAACTAGGTGCACATAGAGTTAAACAAGTGCGTATGAAAAGTCATCAGTGGAGCAACGACTCGACAAGTCACCATGACAACAGGCAACAGGAAGGGCCTATTTCACCACAATGGAACTAGAGATTTTAATGAAGAAATGCAGAACAAATGAAAGAGAATGTGCTAAAGAGAAAGAGCTGCAAAGGAGAGGAATGTGATTCCTTTTCCTAGCACTGAATTAATAAATCTGTTTAATCTGAAAATTTTCAGTAGTTCATGTTCTATAAATAAAAATAAAAAGATCTGCATCTCGCTCATATAAACCACAAAAAAGTAATATATCCTGTCACCGAGTTGTAGAATCCTCTCCCTATAAATATTTCTCTGAATTAATGCCGATCATTCTTATTAAGATCCTCAAATTTGCAAAGTTTGTTTTTAAAACCTTATGAGGCTAACAGACCGAGTGAGATATTTATGAAGAAAACTGGAAATAAAACAGCATAATTGCCTATAGGGAGAGTGGAGACAGAGTTTACTCAAGAAAAGCTGCTGCTGACCAGGTTAGCTCTGGGGAGAAGGTTACTATGGCAACAGAATCAGAGGTGGAGGAAACTCTTTGTGAAACAGGAAACTCAGTTTCCCTTTTTTTGGTGAACCTGCTTCGTGAAACGGACCCGATGGTTTATGCTGGTGAAGATTCTCAGGCATCCAGGTCTTTACCAGCATACTGCACTCCATCCTGGGAAGGAAACCCTCAGACAGTAGGAAGCTTGCAGATTATAGGAACCGTCTTTGTTACCTGTTCTTCTGGTTCATTTTGCATGTTTTCTAAGCAAAGTTTTGTTTATAAAGCTTGGAGCTCAGTGCTATTTGAGAAAGAATCCTGGATGGGAAACGAAACATCTTCAAACTTAGAAAAGGAAGTACAGTGGATTGTTTTGAACTTTTTGGGAACATCTGATGGTTGTTTCCTGAGGACCTGCGGCACAGGAAGGTGATTCTCTGAAGCTCATTCGCCCTCTGGACTCAAACCCCGCCCCTCCATTCTTAGAAGCCTGAACCTGTTAAACTGCTTTTTTTCTTTTCCAGAAAAGCTCATCCAGTGGTCACCATGACAACAGCCCCCCATTAAAAACTTAAGAAAACACATAAACCACAAATAGACGGACCTTTTCACTTTTAACCCCAAATAATCCCCATTTACCTCGCCACATTTTCATGTTTCTTAAAAATGTAAACGATCCATTTATCAGTTTATTTGTTAAAGTTTAAAAAAAAAAGAAAAGCGATATTCGCCATCTTTCAGAATAAACTAAATCCAGCGGGCCTCTGCCTGCCTGAGCCTTCAGGACCATAAATGATCCTTCCAGCGTTTGCATCGTTTCTCACTAAAAGCTGCAGGAAAGTAAGCCAGCAGCTCTGACATCCGACTGTGATCCTGCAAAAATTAAAGTCTCTTATTTTGTTGTTCCAGTAAACGGAAACGGAAGATAAAAAAAAAAATTATTGTAATTGAACAGAATTATTACATTAAATTCATAACAATTACATGATTTTACATCAGTGGAAAAGTAGAAACCCAAGTTCTTCCATCCAGACCACCTAACCGTAGACATGTTTCCACTCCTCGGATCGTTTTTTCCTGGTAACTGTCCATCACCACCTTTACTTCGAGTCCCCCCCCCCACCCCCCGGGAACCAGTCCTTAGTTCTTCTTGGTTTTTGGAGAGTCATATTTCCTCTTACTGGAGTACCAGAGGAGCAGAGGAATCCCGATGGAAGGCAGAGTCATCACCCCAAACGCAGCCCAGTCCAGCTAACAGAAATAAAAGAGACAAATTCATGAAAATAATGTTGCAAAAATGAATAAAATGCATAAATACAACTTATCACAAAAGGAATATATTTAAAATTATTTGAACATTCTGTGATTCTGCGAGTTCTCCACCTTCCAAATCATGGAGGATTCTGATGTTTTAGGTGTCCACTGTGAGAAACATGCTGCACAGAAGCATTTAAACAGCTGTGAAAAGATTCGGTAGAGTAGCCTTCGTTTGCTACTAGAGGTCAAACGTTTCCTGTAGTTTTTCTCCAGGTTTAATCAGACTGCAGCAGGGATTCTGGCCCATTCCTCCACACAGATCTACTCTAGATACGCCAGGTTTCTCATACGCTGAGAAACAGTTTTAGCTCCAAAGATCATCTATACAGTTTAGGTCTGGGGACTGGCTAGGCCACAGCAGAGACCTGATGAGCTTCTTACGGAGCCACTCCTGGCTGAGCTTTAGCTCTTCATCATGATGGAGGAATCATCTTTACCGCTCTGAAAGAAGGAGGTCGTTCCCTCAAATCTCCCAATAAACGGTATCAGTCATCCTGTCCCACAGAAAGCGTCTCCAGAGCATGATGCTTCCAGCTCCATGCTTCACAGTGTTTTTGGGACACACTAGTGAAGATTCTCAGTCATCAGGTCATTTGTTGTATTTTTTTTAAACTTTTTGGAATGTTTCTCTGGATTCTTCATCTATCAAACATGGCGTGTTGAATTAAGACCTGTTAATTTTCTCACATTAACCCCCGAGGATCATCTGAATAAGGGACCTGCCGATTTTAAAACCATGCAGGATTTTATTCCATGACGTGTTAAGCCGGGCGTACACTGTACAAATTTTTGATTTTCTCAAGTCGTGCAAGATTTTTTCGATGTGGCCGTCTTTGAGCCTGATGGTGCGTGGTGTCGTGTAGAGGGGGTAAAGAGGGGCGATCAGCCTCTAATGACCACCTCCCTATCAGGAATCGTAAGGTTAGGAGAAAATCAAACATGTTTGAAATTCAGTCGGCCGTCGTAAGGTGGTCATGGGGGAATTGCTCAGTGGGAAAACAAGGATTCTTCTTCTTCCTCTCAGATGAAAGAAGAGCTGCATGGGTGGGGGCGGGGGCGAGCGAAATGGAGTTCTTTCTGTAAAACTGACAGACCGTAGTAGCCACACTTCCTCAGCCATGTCTTTGTGGTGGATGATCCTCCCACCACCACATCGTCTTAGTATTTTTTTTTCTTGCTTTATATTATATTACAGTTTATGTTTAAGTTGGTTGTTTCTTTTAGACAGGTATTTTCTAATGGGTGCACACTTTAGTTAATGTCCGTCTGAATGGTTTATTTACACTTGTTCTTTTGTTTGAGGAGCTGCTGATGCAAACCAGCTGGAGGAGGAAATCTGGAGCGTACCATTTTTGAAAGACTGACGGGGGAGACTTGTTTCAAGTTTAATTAGTTTGTCACTGAAATACTTATTGTTTCTGCTAAGTAAAAGTTAGTTTTGCTGTATTCGTTTCATAGAATGGTTAACTTTGTATTTATTGGTTCTTTTGTTATGTTGTGCCTCCCTCATGTGGTAGACTTGGGTTACTCCATCCCTTTTTAAGCAGCCTTTAGTTTTTGTTTGAGTTGGATCCTCAGTTGACCTCAGTTAAGTTGGGCCCAGATTCATGTTATTTTGTATTTAAGTTATTTTGTATTGCTTTTGAGCTGTTGTTAACCATTTTTGACACAATTAAATAAAAGCACTTTTTCAAATTTTGAACACCTTTTGTCCTTATTTAAGTTTGGTCCCTCACAGGCTTTCAACACAAAATCTCACAGATATCCAAGGCAGCGCGTTTCACTCTAGTGAGCTTCATATTCCTCTTCTAGTCGTTTGTCTTCCGGATAGACAAGTCCTAGTAGCTCCATCTCACTGCGGAGCTGAGTCCCACCTGGTTTTTAAACGTACAGTGTGAGCAGGTAGATCACATCAGAGCGTCGAGTCACAAGGCGTGAGAACAAACATGGCGAGCTGGGAACTTTTAAACCCTGCGGTTTCGCTGTGCAGTCTGAGCTGTGGCTGCGTACGATTGAAAACAGGGCTGCAACAACGAATCAATAAAATGGACAAAAATCGACTTTTAAAAGCGTTGGCAACAAATTTCATTATCGATTAGTTGTGTCGAGCGATTAATGCGTCATCCGCCGCCGCCGTCATCACTGCCATTTGACTGAAACGGGGTAAGAAAAAAAAATTAGGGCAGAGCGAGCCAGTGTTGCAAACTCAGCGACTTTGTCGCTATATTTAGCGACTTTTCAGACCCCTCCAGTGACTATTTTAAAAAAAAAGCGACTAGCGACAAATCTGGCGACTCTTTACGGTGTCACTGGCGGCTTTTGGAGACTCTTACGTGAAAGCATGTATCGTTCCTACTCTGGTCCTCCAGCGGCAGCTGCTGCCGTGGGGCGCCTCCCCCATCCCAACCCCGTTCTCCCGCAGGAGTCCCTCTCAGCACTGCAGTCAGAGCC